TTGAAAAACAAGACACGATCTATAGTTAACAGACTAACACTTTGGAAATTTCATTGTGATGACAAATGAATACAGTGGATTTAGCAAATGTGTTTGAACCCTATCTGTTTTCAAGTCACTGCTATCCCAGTATTAGGGTTCCAGTCACTGCTACTGATCCCAGGGTAAATTGGGATCCGCCTCGGCCTCCTAAGTAGCTGGGATTACAGTTCTGTGCCAGGACGCCCAGCTGATTTTTGTATTTTTCGTAGAGATGGGGTTTCGCCATGTGGACCACGCTGGTCTCGCACTCCTGATCTTAGGTGATCCACTCGCCTCACCCTCCCAAAGTGCTGGGATTACAGGTGTGAGCCACTGCGCCCCGCCAAGGGGACTGAGATTTCTAACAAGTGCCCAGGTTGCTGTTGGCCCTAAAGCCACACGGCACTACAGGATGGGCCGTACCTTCCACATTGTCCTGGTGCACGCAAGCGTCGTACTCTGCGCGTGCCCCCAGCATGCAGCTCTCCCTATTCTATCATGGTGCATTGCTTATCTTCTTCAGCTGGAATGTTCGTTACCGTGGACAGGAATAGTGTCCACAATGCCTTCTATCCCTCTTTGTGTTCTCAGCCCCTTGCCCAGAACTTGGTCCTAGTAGATGCTCAAGCCATGTTGGTTTAATTATGTGGTCTCTGTCAGGCTGAACTCACAGAGCTCACTTCCAACCTAACTTTATTATCTGTCTGTGCAGTGGAGGCTCCTTTGTTAGTTGATGACACTTCTAACCCCTGCTGAGCAACATGGAACCCTTCCGTAGCAGAATGAGAGTAACTGGCCACCCAGAGGCCCAAAAGGGACCTAGAAGCCCAAACTTAATTAAGTAGAACGAAGCAGCTGTGGTCAGGTACACTGGCCAGAGCCACTCCGGGGAAGAGCTGTGCAGAAGAGTGAACTTTGTCACTGGACAACCAATACATCATCTGGGACTCTGCCCGTTCCCTTTGATTAATAGCCCCAAGGTGTGGGTTTGGTACAAGTTCTAAATGAAAATTTAGATATAAAAGCTTAAGAACAGTTTTCTCTTGTAAATAGCACGAGGAGGCCAGAGAGGCCTGAAGACTTGAAAATGTACAAGGCATACATGTTCATATTTAATGACATGCCACAGAGTCTACATTATTCATCATGAGTCAGGGCACCCTCTGGCTGAGTTTTAATTTGATCAAAAATAAGCTATCAAACTTTGGCTTTGTTAACAGACATTTGGCCTCTACACCAAGAATAGAAAAAAAAGAAATACCTACTTGGAGGAAAAGAAGTGATCCTAAAGTGTTTTGTTCTAGGAAAAATGAAACGCCACCTTGTCTGTAATTGTAACTACCCTCAACTACTTGCATTTTCCTGGAGGTTCAGGAGAGGGTAGGATGAATGATAGTGTATAGGATGGATTTTTTTAAACCTGTGTTATTAAGAATTACATTGGCTGGGTGCAGTGGTTCATACTTATCATCCTAGCACTTAGGGAAGCCAAGGCAGGTAGAGCACTTGAGCCCAGGAGCTTGAGACCAGCCTGGGCAACATGGTGAAACCCCATGAGATCACCGGGGCAACATGGTGAAACCACGTCTCTGCAAAAAAAATATAAAAATGAGCTGGGCATGTTGGTGCACGCCTGTGGTCTCAGCTACTTAGGAGGTTGAGGCAGGAGGATTGCTTGAGTCCAGGAGGTCAAGGCTGCAGTGAGCTGCAGTCATCCCACTGTGCTCCAGCCTGGGCATCAGAGCAAAATCCTGTATCAAAAAAATAAACAACAACAACAAAAAACACAAAACCCCAAAAACAATAACAAAAAAACCAGAACTATATCACTATTACTTAAGAACGTATATACATTCATTCATGCGCAGTTTTATTCTACTCTACACATAATTATATCCTATTTGCTCCCAAAGCTAAAGTAATTCAGAAATACAGGAAAGGACAGAAATACGTCAACAAGTTAACATCCGAAAGTTAATAAAATAATCATATCTATCCTATTCAGATAATCCTTTTTATGGCCTTTTTCTGAGCAGAATTTTCTGAACAGACCTTTTTCAGAACAGAATAATAGTCTGCAATTACAGATTCATAGAAACGAACAATTTTGTAGCTAAAAAATCAATTATTTCAGTAATTATAAGTGTAAAGACTAGGCCTTAGTCTTCTGGCTTTAGTTATCTGATTTGAAGGAACTCCCAGTGAATATTACAGATCTGACCAACTGCAAGGGATGCTGAGTAACAGTGTTGCTATTGGGTTTGTGCCAAAAGATCCATTTATTCAATAAAGTGCATGGGAAACTTAGCACTAGGAAAGCACACTAACTCATGAAAAAAAGGTCGGGTCCCAAGGATGAAACTAACTGAAAAATAGCAAGTCGTTTCTGGTGTGGGGTCTTTCTAGTTGACAGCTGCCTTCATGTTGAAAAAAAGCTCATAGAAATGACAAGATTCCATCTACCATGGTAAATGCAAGAAATTCCAGACAGATTACTCCACAGCTGCTTCCTCCCACCCAGCTCACCCCATCCACCCCAGCGCACTTGCACACACAAGTAGACTCTCTTCCAGTCACTGGGCTCAAAGTCTGGCACTGCACCCTGACAACTGAATGCGGTAGCAGTTGCCAGTCACAGCTGCAGTCTGGAGGCTGAGGTTAGGAGATGGGATCAGGGACTCTCAGCTCCAACTGTTAACTCAGGGAAGGGTGATTTTGCAGAGCCACGTGCCCTTGGACAATGCTGGTCTCAAACAACAGGCTGTCAGTCACTGAAACCCCCACAGAGTGCAAATCACGAAATCCGATTTGAAAATAGAAAACAATCAACAATTACTGAAAGTACTTGAGACATTAAGTGGTCATAAACTTTTCGTAGTGCAAATAGGAGTTTTGTGCAATGGACTGTGTCCTTTAAGATGAAATGGTTTTTTGTTTGTTTTTTTTTGAGATGGAGTTTCGCTCTTGTTGCCCAGGCTGGAGTGCAGTGGTGCAATCTCGGCTCACTGCAACCTCCACCTCCTGAGTTCAAGTGATTCTCCTGCCTTAGCCTCCCCAGTAGCTGGGATTACAGGCATGTGCCACCATGCCTGGCTAATTTTATATTTTTAGTAGAGACAGGGTTTCTCCATGTTGGTGAAGCTGGTCTCAAAACTCCTGACCTCAGGTGATTCACCAGCCTCAGCCTCCCAAAGTGCTGGGATTACAGGTGTGAGCCACAGCACCCGGCTGGAATGGCTTTTTTTTTTTTTTTTTTTTTGAGACAGAGTTTTGTTCTTGTTACCCAGGCTGGAGTGCAATGGCGCGATCTCAGCTCACCGCAACCTCCACCTCCACCTCCTGGGTTCAGGCAATTCTCCTGCCTCAGCCTCCTGAGTAGCTGGGATTACAGGCACGCGCCACCATGCCCAGCTAATTTTTTGAATTTTTAGTAGAGACGGGGTTTCACCATGTTGACCAGGATGGTCTCGATCTCCTGACATCGTGATCCACCCACCTCAGCCTCCCAAAGTGCTGGGATTACAGGCATGAGCTACCGCGCTCGGCCCCGGAATGGGTTTTTTAAAGCCTCTGGGCCAGATGAGGTGGCTCATGCCTGTAATCCCAGCACTTTGGGAGGCCCAGGCAGACCAATTCCTTGAGCCGAGGAGCTCAAGACCAGCCTGAGCAACATGGCAAAACTCTGTCTCTACAAAAAATACAGAATTTAGCCAGGTGTGGTGGTGAATGCCTGTGGTCCCAGCTGCTTGGGAGGCTGAGGCAGGAGGATCATTAGAGTCCAAGAGGTCAAGGCTCCAGTGAGCCATAATTGTGCCACTGCACTCCAGCCTGAGTGACACAGTGAAACACTGCCCCCACAAAAAAATTACATTAAAAACCTCTCTGAATACTGTGGTGTCCATGAATATCAATACTACATCTTTCTATATGCTTTCATGATCTTTATCATTTTATAAATATGTAGTTTTCATAGAGTTGTGATCAGTGGGCAAACGAAATGACGTTGTTTTACTTTTTCCTCCCAAAGACCATTCAATCAGCTGATTCTAGTAGCCCTTTTCTCTTCTCTGCAAGAATGCTGTGACTCTGGCTATCACTGTTTATCCTTCATCTTGCTGGAATGTTGACAGGCCATAGTAGGTGAGGAGAAATTAGTTTGATTTATGCTATGGACCATGCTTTGGAATCTTTAAGTAGTTTTTAATAATTTAAAATAAATTTAATTTTAAACTTCAAAGATACAATTTTTATAATATATTTTTTAATTGCTTCCCAAACCTCAGAAGAAGACGACAAAAAATATCAGGAAACTTATTTCTAGGCATATGTCTTAAAGCTTGTCAAAAGATTTTCTAGTCATTTTTAATATCCGATCAAAACTTTATCATTTCAGTCTTCCATTAGTGAAGTGAAGAAGATACTTTGCTTTTACCATCTGAACAGCATTTTCCCCTGTCATATTGGGTGCTCAGTAACTAACAGCTGTCATGGCAATCCATGATGCCTGATGTGCTCTATGGATCATATTTATTTTATACAAATGTAACAGTTATATTTTGTAACTATTTATTTATTTATTTATTTTCAGAGGGAGTCTTGCTCTGTCGCCCAGGCTGAAGTGCAGTGGCACAATCTCGGCTCACTACAACCTCCGCCTCCTGGGTTCAAGTGATTCTCCCGCCCCAGCCTCCTGAGTAGCTGGGATTATAGGTGCCCACCACCACAGCCAGCTACTTTTTGTATTTTTAGTAGAGACAGTGTTTTGCCATGTTGGCCAGGCTGATCTCAGGTGATCCACCCACCTCAGCCTCCCAAAGTGCTGGGATTACAGGCATGAGCCACCGTGCCCCACCCTCTACATGGATATTTCATCTTAGGTTTTCCTCGAGGCAGATGTTAAAGCGTGAGACCACTGGGCCACAGGGTGTATAGATTGTATGGCCTTTTTTTACACAGGCAGAGGACGGCCTGGTACTTACTGTTTTGCTCCATGTGAGGCCAGTGGTGTGGTGTTCCTTGATGTATGCTTGAAGCTCACTCCAAATGTTCAAATATGACTTCACCCAATCCACATGGCGCAAATCACTTTGTTATAAAAGAGAATGGAAGAAAGCGGAGTTAGGATCGAAAAGACAATTGTAAAAAGATTGTGGGGTCACATGGTTATCTAGTGACTAGGGCCCTGGAGCCCGGAGCAATTGTCCTCACAGCCCAAGCACCGTGAAGCGCTTCAGAAGGGAACCCTGGGAGGAAGCCGACCCAGCACTCTCCTAAAGGGAGGCGGCAGGTGGACGGGTGCCCTGAGTCCAGGTATGGGGCAGAGGGAACAGAGAGGGACCCAATAGAAGTAAGCTGACGAGTAGGGTGTCCTCACACTGTCCTTGTCAGCCCTCATGTGAGGGAGGCAGAGAGGGGAGACTGTTTCTTTCCACACTGCTCCTGATGCAAATGAGAGACAATATGCTCCCAGGAATGAGAATGGTATTAAACAGAAAAAAAAAGTCACTGGGTTCATTTTCTAATAATTCTGTTGAATCACTTGGTTAAAATGTAACCAAAATGGAGAATTTTAGTGATTATGACTGACAAAGAAATCGGTATAGTAAGAAAATTGATCTCTTACAAACAGGTGACACCCCTTACTTCGAAAGGGACATTTAAATTCCCTTAGTTTAATATTTTGAATGACAATATGAACCAGGCAGGGCATCACCTATATTTTTACCTTGATTTTATTGAACCAAGGGCTAGTAAAATACTTACCTTTTATAACAGGATTAACATACAAGATTGAAAGAATTGTTAGAAATATTAAACTTACAGATAGGCAAAAATAGTTGCATTTCCTTTTGGCAATTTTCACCCATAATATGTTTGTTTTCACTTTAAAGAAGACTAGGTAAATGTGAAAATGATGACATTTGAGTTAAGAAAATATTTAATTATGTTCCTGGGCCGCTAATCTGAACATAATCATTAACGGAAATCTTCATGATTAAAGCTTTCCTCAATAATGACTTACCTAGACATACTGTATTTTGTTTTGCTTGAAAAGCCCTAAGCACCACCAGCTTATTGTATCAAGGCATGTCATTTAGAGACAGTGAACTTGGGCATCCAAGCACTTTGTTAATTCCAGCACTTTGGGAGGCCGAGGCGGGCAGATCACCTGAGGTCAGGGGTTTGAGACCAGCCTGGCCAACATGGCAAAAGTATTAATATTTCATTCTTTTTTTACGGCCCAATAATATTCCATTGTGTGGATATACCAAATTTGATTTATCTATTCATCATAAATCCTATTGTATCAAGGCATGCCATTTAGAAAGAGTGAACTTGGGAACTGAAGTCATAATTATCCACTCCACAAAGAGAAAAAACATCAGTGTGGTTTTGTTCTTCATTTTTAGATGGACTGATTATATTCATCAAATCTATGAAAAGTGTCACTGTCGCTTTGTCTCACCTTCAGAGTCAAAACCCAAAAGCTAAGAGTAGCTCCAAAGGTCTCTCTCACTGGCTATTCGGTTTGACTACTCCTAGTGGTAAAAATGGAAGTCATGTGCACCTCCAGCGGCATTTCTCTGGCTTCTTGTACAGTCTTGAGGTGGTCCACTGAGCTTAACTGAGTCGCGCTTTGGTGCTACTGAAGTACACTTTCTACTTAATTGCTAGAGCTAACATGGAGGGGCAAATACTGAACCCTCTTTGTGAACAAAAACATGTAGAAAAGCCCATCCCTTTTGACTATGCTGCTACCTCAGGGGAAGCGCTCACACCCACAGGCCCAACATATACTCAAGGAGGGACTGGGAGAAGGACAGGAGCTGATGAACTGAGACACTAATAAAAATAGTCTCCAAGGGTGAAAGGTAAAAAGGCAAAAACCTAGGATGTGCTTGAGCTGTCCTAAGCTGGCATGTGTAGGTGTGTGTCTGCATATCTTGAACAAAAGAAGTCACTCGGGGTGTACGTTCATGCTGTCATATGATATCCAGGTTTGGCAACTGAAACTTGCTCTTTTCTGAAATGTTATTTCTATGTGAGAAGAACAGGCCATCTTGCATATTTCTGATGCCTTTCTCATGCGTGTCGCACGGTTCTGAAATCTCTAATTCAACATGGCAACATTTGGAGGCATATCACTGGGCACAACTGGCTTGATGCAAAAAGTCTGTAACTGAGCACAACTGTTTTAACCAAAGTTTTCTCGGGGTGGGCAGAGCCCCTCCTAAGAGGAAAAGAGGCACACTGAACTCCTGGAACTAGGAGTTCCATCTGCTAAAGCTCCTCTTCCTAAAAGCAACATGGAATGACTAAATTCTGTGAGGGGAACACAATGGCTGTTTTTCTTTTTCTTTTTTCTTTTTAAATATAACAGCTTTACTGAAATATAATTTACGTCCCATACACTTTGGCCATTTCCAGTGTGCAATTCAATAGTTTAGCTCAGCAGAGTCGAGCAATCACCACCACAATCAATTTCAGAACATTTCATTGCCCCTGAAAGAAACCCCATACCCATTAGCAATTAATCCTCCAAAGGGAGTAATTACTTAAAACTTAAAAAAAAAAAAAAAAAAAGCTTAAACTTTTAAAAATCTGAGTTTTCCCTAAACTTCCCCAGCTCTAGGTAACTGTTAATCTACTTTTTGTTTATATAGATTTGACTATTCTGGAATTTCATATCAATGTAATCATATAATATGTGCCTGGCTTCTTTCACATAGCACAGTATTTTCAAGGTTCATTCATGCTGCTGCCCGAATTAAAAAAATGAAAAATTAAAGCACGTTTTGGAATGAAATAACCATTGATGCACTGACTGAATTAAGTAGCTTAGAAATTACTTTAGTGGTCCTAGATAATATATTGGGGTACAGTAATCTCTCTCCCTGGAGACAGGCTGGTAACTGTTTTTCCTTGGAAAATTAAAGCTTAAGGTTGTTGATAGCTCTAAATAGGGTAACAATTACAAAGTGGAAACTATGATATGGAATCTGATGTCACCACTTTCTGTTGCTTATAATTATTGAAAACTAATGGAGTTCAAGAAAAGCTGTCATGGATTTGGGAAATATCAGGACCAAGAAATTAATAAACAGTCCATTCCAGGCTCACGCTTGTAATCCCAGCACTTTGGGAGGCTGAGGCAGGTAGATCACCTGAGGTCAGGAGTTTGAGACCAACCTAGCCAACATGGCAAAAGTATTAGTATTTCCTTCCTTTTTTATGGCCCAATAATATTCCACTGTGTGGATATACCATATTTTATTTATCTATTCATCAGCTGATGAACATTTGGGTTATTTTCACCTATTGGCTATCATGAACAATGCTGCAATGAATATTGTGTACAAGCTTTTGGGTGAACATATGTTTCCATTTCTAGTACAGTGGCAGAATCTCAACTCACTGCAACCTCCCCCTCCCGGGTTCAAGCCATTCTCCTGCCTCAGCCTCCTGAGTTAGCTGGAATTACAGGTGCATGCCATCACACTTGGCTAATTTTTGTATTTTTAGTAGAGATGGTTTTTAACCATGTTGGCCAAACTGGTCATGAACTCCTGATCTCAAGTGATCCACCTGCCTCGGCCTCCCAAAGTACTGGGATTACAGGCTTGAGCCACTGCTCCTGGCCTGCTTTTTGTAGTAAAAAAAATATTGTTACATATTTCTTAACCTGAGGGATGAATGTTTAGGTATTTTTTGTATTGTAATTCTTTACACCTCATGTATATTTTATAAATATTCTTTTGTATCTACTCAATATTTGTTAAAATAAAAAATAATCTACAAAGGAAACAGGGATGAACATTTTGAATATGTAATATTGACAAATGGCCTAGAAGTATAGGAGGTATTTATTTATATATTTTATGCAATTTTTCTATATTCCATATAAAATTTGTCTGATATTGTTGTAGACCTTTTTCTTCTGGTTCTAATTTTCATATCTGCATTAGTAAAATAAGGAGGTGAATGGAGGCTGGGTGCAGTTGCTCATGCCTGTAATCCCAGCACTTTGGGAGGCTGAGGCGGGCAGATCCGGAGGTCAAGAGATCGAGACCATCCTGGCCAACATGGCGAAACCCCATCTCTACTAAAATTACAAAAATTAGCTGGGTGTGGTGGTGTGTGCCTATAGTCTCAGCTACTCAGGAGGCTCAGGCAGGAGAATTGCTTGAACCTGGGAGTGGGAGGCTGCACTGAGCCAAGATTGCACCACTGCAGTTCAGCCTGGTGACAGAGTGAGACTCTGTCTCGGGGGAAAAAAAAAAAAAAAAGGAATTGAAGCAATAATCCAATAATGTAGGTTCTTTAGTATCCTTCCACCTTAACAGTCTGGGTCAACACATGAAACGTCACCAGGTGTCTCTGCATTTGCTGACCAATGGTCACTTTTGTTGCTGCCACCTAAGAGCTCTGAGGGAGATCCACTTTCAAGTTCAGGGCCAGAAGCAGGTAGAATCTTGCTGCTCTTATATTTGCCTCATCCCTTCCCTTAGTTCCTAGGCACCAGCTGCATCCCATTTAGCCAGCGGTTTAGAGTACAAGGCACAACCTTATCAGAGGAGGAGGAATCTCATGATATCCCTTAAACATTCAGGACACATTTTCCTGGTATTTCTTCAGCTCTGCCATGTCTCTGTTTGGCCCTATTTTCTATTCTGACTCCAGTTTTAAGTCACTCTAGGATCTATTACTTGTGCTGTCGAATGCAAGGTCCTTTCACACTGGTTCACAAGGCAGAGCCCCTTGGTTTAGACCAGGTGTCCCCAAACTACGGCCCACGGGCCACATGCGGCCCCCTGAGGCCACTATCCGGCCCCCCGCTGCACTTCAGGAAGGGGCACCTCTTTCATTGGTGGTCAATGAGAGGAGCACAGTACGTGGCGGCCCTCCAACGGTCTGAGGGACAGTGAACTGGCCCCCTGTGTAAAAAGTTTGGGGACGCCTGGTTTAGACTCATCTATGCTTTGAGCAGCGCTCTGAATGGCTGCTAGTCTTACAGATGTCTGTGTCCACCCCAGCTGTACTTCATTTTAACTGAGTCTCTGGTTTCTTCTCACTGCTCTGGTTTGTTGTTTCATCTCAGTTCTGTTCTTGATTTACGCTTTGTTTCCGGATTCCTCCTCTCTTCTCTAGCTCACCCACCAACTCTACTTTGATAAGTGTAAGAGTTCTGTAACATATAGGGTTGCTCCATCACCAAGCTCTCTGATTACTGTGGGAATACCTAAGATAGTGACATGCATTCAAGTGGGGGGAGTTTATTCATTACGAGAGAATGGAGGTGGACTTTCTAAAACGCATGTATTATCTGGATAACTGATTCCACTTTCCACTTGACTTTATCTGCAAAGATTAGTATTTTCCTTTAAAATTTATAGTACATTAGTGTAGCACCTTGGAAAGGAATCAGTCGTTAACTGTATTGAGTTTTCGGGACAAATGTCTAACAAGTAATCAACTGAAAATTTGGTCAGTAAAAGAAGGTACGTACCTGTGTTTGTAGTCCTTTAAGACCCTGTTAGTGTAAAAGGTGGCAGCGTCATTCATCTCCTTGACATAAGGACCGGGTTTGGGGGACTGAGAAAACAGGACCATCACCCAAGCATAGAAGGAAAAAAAAATAGAATAAGAAAGAAAATGCCTTAAGAAGCAAAGCAATGGAGACGTGGACTTAAAGTGGGAGGCAAATGTTGCTCTGAAAGGTTGATAATACTTTCTACAGTACCTCAGCACGGAAGGCATTGAACTTGAAACAGGGAAGGAGAAAGCGGGTGGATTCAGCCTAGGAAGAAGCTTCCTTCAGTGCAAGGAGCGTGAAGGTAGCTAAGCTACGAGTTCTCCTAAATACTCCAAACGTGTGACGAGGTGAAGAGGCAATATTCCACCGGGACTTACCACAGCTATCCATCCAAGGGCAGGGATGCTTTCGCTGACAGCCGAAAGATGATTGAACATGGTACTCCCCCGGTTTCTCTCTCTGAAAGTCTGGATTTCCTGAATCTTTTCTGATATGGGTTTCAGAAGAGTGGCCACGTCATTCTGTAAGCAGACAAACATCGGGGGCTGTGAACTACAGAGAGAGCAGAAGCACAGCACCTCTACCCGTGCTGGCCTAAGCAGCAGAGTTCAGGGCTTGCCATCTCTCCAGGGGACTAAAAGAAAAAATCGTCTTTGAGAATAGCACGCACTTGTTTGTGGTTAGGATAATGCCACCGTGCTTTTACTGTCTGAAGTATGAAAACTGCAGATATTTTTAACATTATTAATGCTGTGTTTTGAGATGTAGAAAAAACCCAGCAGTATGACATAGCCCCCATTTCAAACACCCTTCAAGAAACACAGTGAAATTGTGTGTTGATCATTTATATTTCAACTGGAAAATAGACATTGCAATAACCCAAGTATAAAGTTGGGTAAGACTGGAAGGTTAGTAAAATTACATCATCCTATTCCTGTGGGAAAATGATTTGGGAGAGGCTTCCTGGTTTTACCATAGTTACCATTATCCATGTGAAAAAGTGGAACTCGTCCACTGAGGCATCCCTTCCCTTTTTTGTTTCTTTTGAGACGGAGTCTCAATCTGTCTCAGGCTGGAGTGCAGTGATGAGATCTTGGCTCACTGCAACCTCTACCTCCCAGGTTCAAGTGATTTCTCCTGCCTCAGCCTCCTGACTAGCTGGAATTACAGATGCCCACGACACCCGGCTAATTTTCTATATTTTTAGTAGAGACGGGATTTCACTGTGTTGGCCAGGCTGCTCTTGAACTCCTGACCTCAAATGATCCACATACCTCGTTCTCCCAAAGTGCTTGGATTATAGGCGTGAGCCACCATGTCCAGCTCTTTTTGAGAAAATGTGATGGCTTATTTTATTTATAGTGACTTTAGTCTTCGCTGGCTTTCTACATTGTCCCTAGTCCACTTGGCCTGCGATTACAGATCACAGTCAATCCTGCTAATTCGACAACTGATTTCTCCATTTATATAAAAATGACTTTCAGAATTACATGAGCTGGCTGGGTGTGGTGGCTCATACCTGTAATTCTGCCATTTTGGGAGGCTGAGATGGGAGGATCACTTAGGGCCAGAAGTTCGAGACCAGCCCTGACAACACAGCAAGATCCCACTTCTACAAAAACTTTTAAAAATGAGCTGGTTCTGGTAGTGTGCAGCTGTAGTTCCAGCTACTCTGGAAGCTCCAGTCCTGGAATTTGAGATTACCAGGAATTTGAGACTATAGTGAGCGGTGACTGCACCACTGTTCTCCAGCCTGGCACCAGAGGGGGACCTGTCTGAAAAAATATGTAAATAAAAAAATACGTAAATAAATAAAAATAAAAAATAAAAAACACAATTACATGAGCTGAGTTATGAAGCATCACGAGACCGATACCCCAGAATACCACCACTGCTTTAAGTATCTCCTCACCTACATCCTTAGCATCCTCTGATTTCTCTAGGCCTTGAAAAGCAGATAGCCTTGTTTATCAGATTTTCACATGTTCACCAAAGAAACAGCAAAGGTCCTCCTATATTTCAGCTCTGTGGAAGTAGCTAAAGAGCTTTAAGCAGTATTTTACTAAACCTTGTTTGCAGGAAGTAAAATAGAAAAGCTCCTTACAGCTCTTTAATTCCTAAGATTTCAGAGCAATGGCTCCCAGCCTTGGCTACACATTAGAACCACCATGGGGGCTTTAAAAACCACTGATGCCTGGGTTCCACCCCTAGCAATTCTGATTTAACTGGTCCAGGGGCGACCTGGGTGAGGGCAGGGGGATTGGATAAGCTTCCTAGGTGATTTCAGTCATTGCTACAGTGGTGGCTTCACACCCCAGAGGATGGTCATTTCTGCCAGGGACAGCAAACCATCAGGAAAAAAATTATGTGCAGCTGCGGTAGCTTTTACTTCTCCTTCTAAACTCCTTTACATGCACTCCTCTGAAAAGAAGGTTGAATGGAAGGGCTTTGGAATTAGAATGGCCTTGGTTCAAATCTGAGCTTTGGTGCCTACAGGCCTTGAGCAAATTACTTCATGGGATCCTTAGTTTCCTCATCTATAAATCAGAGATAATACCTATCACCTACAGGCTACAGGAGATACTGCATTTTAAAGCCCTGGAGGTACACAATAAATTGAAGTAATTATTATTATTTCCATGATGCAGTTAACTCATACCAGATGGAAAAAGGATGTGGTCCCCTGCAATATGTGATATTCATTTGTTTCAAATAAATATGCATTTAAGATAGGAGAGGCTCCAAACAGACATCTACATAGATTAACAGGATTTTAGGATTCCAGGAGTCTAAACTGGGTCACCTAGTTCAGCTTTTGACAAATCCAATAGAACAGGTCACAATTAGTATTTAAAAGTCATGAAAATTGATTAGAAAATAGCAGCATTTGTATGTAGTAAGGATGGATATTTTGGTATTAAACACTTGTTTTGGTTATGAAGTGTGTGTGTGTGTGTGTGTGTGTGTGTGTGTGTGTGTTTGTGCGAGTGCTGGGTTGCCAAATAAAATGTATTTCTTAATATAGATCTAGCCTTAAAAAGTTATTTTTTCTTTTCTGTGATGGAGTTTCTCTCTTGTTGTCCAGGCTGGAGTGCAGTGGCGCGATCTCGGCTCACCGAAATCTCTGCCTCCCAGGTGCAAGTGATTCTCCTGCCTCAGCCTCCTGAGTAGCTGGAATTACAGGCATGTGTCACCACACCCAGCTAATTTTGTATTTTTAGCAGAGATAGGAGTTTCTCTATATTGGTCAGGCTGGTCTCAAACTCCTGGACTCAGGTGATCCACCCGCCATGACCTCCCAAAGTGCTGGAATTATAGGCGTGAACCACCACACCCGGCCAAGCCTAGAAGTTTGAGAAACATGGCCGTAATCCAGTTCTCCTATTTTACATATGGAATACAAGCTCAGAGAGGTTAATTTACTATGTCAAGACCAGCTAGCAACGATTAGTGGAGCTGGAGCTAGAAGACTGGTCCTTGGGGAGGCCCTGAGAAGATTCTCGATACTGGGTGCTAAGAAAAATACAGTCAGCATCTACATACAGGTTTCTTCTCTACCAATAAGACTAGGGAAAGGTGTTGAGAAGAGATGAAGAGCAAAGGTTCTAGAATGAGACTTCTTGGGTTCAAGTCCTTGCTCCACAGTGTACTCAGCTCTGGGACTTTATACCAATTACCAAACTTGTCCAAGATTCCCTTGTTCCATCTGCAAGCTAGGCTTGACAATAGTACCTGCTTCACAGAGATGTTATGAGGAGTAAACAAGAGAACACTGTGCTTGGTAAAGGGTCAGGTATACTGTGGGTGCACAACAGGTGGCTGGTGATCTCTGAGGTATCTGTCAGTTACAAAGCCTCTGACCGGCCAAGTCCACTGACTAGCTCTTTCCCATCCCTTGTATGTCTCCTAACTGAGATATGTTGAGGGACAGAGGCACACTTCTGTTTGAGGGAAAGAAAGAAACACAGAGAAAGAAAGCAAAGTGCTCTCAAGGTTCCCAGCGGACTTTTTAGCTATTCTGTACTGAAGGAGGGGAAAAACAAAAACATTTGCTGCAGAAGCTGGTCAGCTCTTATGGAAAACTCATGAATATCTTCCCGTCTTCTCTCTTTCCCTTCTGATCACTACAAAGTAAAGGGCTTGTGGATTTGGTATGAAGACCTTGGATCAGGGTTGTTGGGGGCTGCACTCTGGCCCCACTTCACCAAATTAATATGCTGAAGCCTTAACCCCTATAGTACCATATTTGGAGAAAAGATCTTAAACATGGGCCGGGCGCGGTGGCTCAAGCCTGTAATCCCAGCACTTTGGGAGGCCGAGGCGGGTGGATCATGAGGTCGAGAGATCAAGACCATCCTGGTCAACATGGTGAAACCCCGTCTCTACTCAAAATACAAAAAATTAGCTGGGCATGGTGGCACATGCCTGTAATCCCAGCTACTCAGGAGGCTGAGGCAGGAGAATTGCCTGAACCCAGGAGGCGGAGGTTGCGGTGAGCCGAGATCGTGCCATTGCACTCCAGCCTGGGTAACAAGAGCAAAACTCCGTCTAAAAAAAAAAAAAAAAAAAAAAGATCTTAAACATGGTTGGAATGCAACCATATTTGGAGATAGAGTCTTTAAAGAAATGATTGTATTAAAATGAAGTCATTAGGGTGGGTTTCAATCCAATATGACTGTTTCTTTTTTCTTTCTTTTTTTTTTTTTGAGACGGAGTTTAGCTCTTGTTACCCAGGCTGGAGTGCAATGGCGTGATCTCGGCTCACCGCAACCTCCGCCTCCTCGGTTCAGGCAATTCTCCTGCCTCAGCCTCCTGCGTAGCTGGGATTACTGGCACGAGCCACCATGCCCAGCTAATTTTTTTTTTGTATTTTTAGTAGAGACGGGGTTTCACCATGTTGACCAGGATGGTCTTGATCTCTCGACCTTGTGATCCACCCGCCTCGGCCTCCCAAAGTGCTGGGATTACAGGCTTGAGCCACCGCACCCGGCGCTCTTTTTTCTTTTCTTTTTTTTTTTGAGATGGAGTTTCGCTCTTGTCGCCCAGGCTGAAGTGCAGTGGCATGATCTTGGCTCACTGCAATCTCTGCCTTCCAGGTTCAAGTGATTCTCCCGCCTCAGCCTCCCAAGTAGCAGGATTACAAGCGTGCACCACCACACCTGGCTAATTTTTGTATTTTTAGTAGAGATGGGGTTTTGCCATGTTGGCCAGGCTGGTCTCGAACTCCTGACCTCAAGTAATCCACCCACCATGGCCTCCCAAAGTGCTGAGATGACAGGGGTGAGCCATTGTGCCCAGCCTGATTGGTGTTTTTATAAGGCGAGGAGATGAGGACACAGACACACACAAAGACACAGGGAGAAGGCGGCGCCTACAAGCCAAGGAGAGAGGCATCGGGTGAGACCAACCCTGCCGTCACCTTGATCCTGGACTTCCACCCTCCGGAACTGTGAGGAATTTCTGTTGTTTATAAGCTACCTGTCTATGGTACTTTGTTACGGTAGCCCTAGCAAACCAATGC